AAGCAAATGAATCACATGTTCTGTACCAGACAGTAGATTTATTGTTGCTGATGCTGCTTTGCAGGGTTTTAGTGCAACGGAATTATTCTAATTATTCTAATTCCAGACCTTGAAAAGAAGAGGGAGCTGGGGTGTGGTTGCCTGGAGTTTGCTTGTTCTTGGGTTTGGTTTTTTCTTCTTCTTTCCCCAAATACTAATAAAGTTTTTCGGCTACTCAGGCAGCTCAGGACTTCTGGTTCCCATAACACCAACTTCCTTTTCCTCCGAATTACAATAGGCGTGCAGTGTCTCTGACATTCTTAATGCAGAGAAGCTGGGTTGATAAGCGCTGTGAGTATGTCTCAACATCAAGTTTTGTTCAGCTCTTTCCCCCTCTGATCCTTAATCAGGAAAGGATTAGCCCAGGGGTTTTCAGGAGAGGAGGGTACTCTGAACTGAAGGTGCGCTTCCAAAGATAGCTCCATCCCCATCCTTGGCTGGGGATCCCGGTCATTTCTCTCTCCTCATTGTTGTGTTCATCTCTCCTAATTTATGAATCATCCAGAGAGACTTTTTCAATTTAAGCTGGGTTTCTCCATTGAGGGATCTTGCAGAAGAAAAACAGGTTAGCATTTTCATGGTTGCATCTCTCTCCTGCTTATTCAGACTTCCCTTCCCTTCCCTTCCCTTCCCTTCCCTTCCCTTCCCTTCCCTTCGTCACCTTGTATTTGTCAGGGTTGTATGGATCCTGTTAGCCTTTGATTTGCAGTGTCTGGTGAACATGGCTGGTTGGGAGAATTGGCAGGGTTGGTGGGGGCCAGGGACTCTTGCTTTAGGGCTCTTTCCAGGCCACGAGCTAAAGAATCGTGGCCTTCCACACACTGGGCAAAGTCTTCAGTACCCCCCAATGCCAACCAGCCTCAGCCTGTTTGTTCAGCCTACGTCAGAGCTTGGAGAATTTTTAGAACATTTTTCAATGCGGTCTTCAGATCTGTTGTCTGTTAGGGGTGTGGGGAACAGATCCAGCATCCTTCTGGATGTAAGCAGGCCTTTGGGTTCCCATAAAGTAGTTCCTAAATCGATTGGACCAACTGGCATTGGATGGCAATGGATTATATAGCTAACAACTCTCCTTGATCATGCAAAACCTTTTATAAGTCACCCTGAACTCCGCTGTCTCCGAGAAACTGTACTAGATGATTCCCCTTAATAGATGTTCTTGGTTACTGGAAACTCTATTCAAAGGGTGTTTATTGAACTGCCCAGCCCATATGAGTGGAATGTCTAATTATCTCTTGTATTGCACTAGAAAGTTATTGCAAGAAATGTTTGTTTTGATTTCTCACCTTGGCTTCTGGGAGTGTGAAAGCAATATTGTTCCTTACGTGTCTTCCTAAAAGGAGTATTTAATTGAGGGCTCTAAAGCCACTGCTTTAGAGAGTTGGCAGGGGTTCTCTCACGCCCACTGGCCTCCATTTTTGAGACCTCGTGGAGAACGGGTGAAGTTCCAGAGGACTGGAGGGTGGCGTCAGTGGTCCCAATTTTCAAAAAGGGTAGAAGAAAGGACATGGGGAATTATAGACCGGTTAGCCTTACGTCCATTGTAGGAAAAACAATGGAAAGGCTCATAATAGAGAGAGATCTAGTGATGCTAGATAGGGAAGGGAGGCTGACAGCCATACAACATGGCTTCCGCAAAAACAGGTCCTGCCAGACAAACCTTGTGGAATTCTATGACAAGGTTTCGCGATGGCTAGATGGAGGGGATGCAGTGGATGTGGTATACCTGGATTTCAGCAAGACCTTTGATAAAGTGCCCCATGATATCCTGGTGGAGAAACTGAGGAGTTTTGGGATACACCAAAGCACTGTCCTGTGGATTAGGGCAGGGTTGACTGACCGAAAGCAGAAGGTAACCATTAGTGGGGAATCATCAGGATGGCGGCCAGTGACAAGCGGGGTGCCCCAGGGCTCTGTCCTGGGGCCGATCCTGTTTAATCTTTTCATTTACGACATGGAAGAAGGGGTGAACAGTCTGCCGATCAAATTTGCAGACAACACTAAAACTGGAGTAGTCACAACTGAGGAGCAGGTACTCCAGATCCAAAAGGGTCTGGACAGACTATGGAAGTGGGCAGGAGACAACAGGATGGCGGTCAATGTGGATAAGTGCAAGGTCTTGCACTTGGGGCATAGGAATGGGTGTCATAAGTACAGGTCAGGGGACAAGTGGCTGGAGAGCAGCACTTGTGAAAGGGACCTCGGGGTGCTGGTTGACTGCAGGCTAAACATGAGGCAGCAGTGTGATGTGGTGGCCAAGAGGGCGAATGCCACCCCTGGTTGCATAGCCAGAAGTGTGGCTTCTAGATCAAGAGAGGTATTACTACCACTCTATACGACTCTGGTGCGCCCACAACTGGAGTATTGTGCTCAGTTTTGGGCCCCTCGTTACAGAAAGGCTATAGCCAGGTTGGAGTCAGTGCAGTGCAGGGCCACAAGGTTGATGACCGGTTTGCAGGGGATGCCATATGAGGCGAGACTGAAGGAACTGGGTCTCTCCAGCCTGGAGAAGAGGAGACTCAGAGGGGATCTGTTGGTGACATACAGGTATGTGAGGGGGTGTCACATGGAGATGGGTAGAAACCTGTTCTCCCTGCAGAGGAAGGCAGGACATGCTCCAACGGAGCAAAGCTCGAGGAGCCAAGGTTACTTTTAGATGCCAGGAAGCACTTCCTGACAGTCAGGACCCCGATGGTGTGGAATGGGCATCCACGAGAGGTTGTTGAGGCCCCATCGGTGCGGGTGTCCAAGGATAGGCTGGACATGCACATGGTGGGCATGTCGTGAGCAGAGCCAGCTGCTGCCGGAGGTCAGACTAGATGGCCTGGGAGACCCCTGCTGACTCTCTCTGTTTCTATGTTTCTATGCTAGAAAAAAAGAGGTATATATTTATACACAGATAAGCCAGGCAGGAAGTTGTCATCTGAATGGCAACACTAATAAACAGTATTTAGTTATCATTGTACAATGTGTAGAAACTTTTTTTCTAATGTAAGTGATTCCTAAATAAATAAATAAAGTTAGCAGTGACTCTTTCCTAATTGCCAGACCTAATTGTAATTGGTCAATGGTGCCCTCTTGTGGGTGAAATCAGAAGACAAGAATCTAGAAATGGCCCTTGGAAAATGAAGATGTCTTTAAACTAAATCAAAATGCACAAAGCTGCTAACCCTTTGAAATCTGAAGTCCATGAGCTCGCAGTCCACATTTATTAAATAATCTCTGACAAGCCAGTTGGCTCAATGTGGATAAGATGTGCCAGAACGTACTCACTTGCAAAAGTAAATAGAAATGGGAAAGAAGCAACCACTGTGTGGAGCCCAGGAGGCAAGCAAATAGAAGAACACTGTTCTTGCTGGCTTGTGCGGGAGGAGAGGAGGCATGAATCATTCTTTGCACTTAAGTGTTTACATGGCGGTGGTTCAGCACCTCTTCTGGAGTCACGGAGAGGTCCCACCAAACTGGGGGGATTTGCCAAGATCAAGGTGGATTCAGACAAAGCTTCGGAGGTGCGCGGGATTTTCACAGGGTGTTCGAGGAGAAGGGCTGGGAAGACTTTCCGGTACTGAATCTTATTCCTTCCAGGGAGTTATTGCACTCTTTGAAAGATTCTCCCTCATGGTAGGACAAGATAGTAGAACATGGACAGCGTTGCAAAAACTTTCTGCAGACTCATTTAGGTTGATATTACCGGTTTACCATCCATCATCTATCAAGCTATCCTCCATCCATCCATCCATCCATCCATATTTTATCTATCCTTTATCAATCTATCAATGTATCAACCTATCTTATTTCTATCAATTCATTCTCTCTCTCTCTTTCTGTGCCAACAACACGGATAATGAAAATGAAGGCAGGTCCCTGCCATAGGAAGTTTATCATCAAAATCTTGGAGGTGGAGGGAGCTAGACAAGAGCTAAAAATTTATCAGAAAACATTTTTCTAGGAAAAGTTGAGATAGTTTCTTTTCCCCAGAAGCCGTCTCAACCATTTTTCAACCTTTCAGCCCTAAAATGACCGTAGTTAGAGGCAGTGTAGAGGATTGCAGCTGGGGTCCAAGTTGTCCACAGGTGCTGCCCCTTGCAATGGCAGAAGGAAAAAAACTGGGGGTGGGGGAAGGAAGGAAGGAAGGAAGGAAGGAAGGAAGGAAGGAAGGAAGGA